GGATTAATTAAAATGTTAACTATAAGAATTTAATAAGCATTTTTTTAGCATTTCTTTCATTTATTACTAGCTTTCTCCAGCGACTCCATCCGCGTAGAATTTAAAAAAAAAGTAAGTAGCCTATGTTTTCTTCTAGACTATCCTCTACGTCTATGCCAAATTTCATCGAGATCCGTTCAGCTGTTTAGGCTACAAACTCTAACAAACATCCATCTATCCAAACTTTTGCATTTATAATGTTAGTAAGATTTCTAATCACTTGTTTATTATGAAAGATTAATAACAATAACTCTAACACTCACTCCTCAGATAAGATGATTACATATTTACTGTGACTGATACATTTGTTGACATAAAATACGATTCTCTACCTTCATCCTTACCATCAAGTATTCATTATCATCATCACCAGGTCAACGTCCCCACCGAGGGGCTCGGAGCCTACCCTAATAAGGGGTGACTAGGCCATAGTCAACCACGCTGGCCAAGTGCGGGTTGGTTGACTTCACACATATCTTTGAATTTCTTCGCCGATATGTGCAGGTTGTATCATGATGTTTTCCTTAACCGTAAGAACGTCGGGTAAATTATGTACATATGAAAATTCGAAAAATCGAAAATCACATTGGTACATGGCGGGATTCGAACCCAAGACCTGTAGATTACAAGTCAAGTGTTCAAACCACTGAGCCACCGACGCTCAAGTATCAGTCAAGTGTCATTCCAGACTGGTCGTAGTCATAATGTATCAATCTTCTCTCTTCACTCCACCTTGTTCGATGTCTTTGTTGCCCATTGGTACAAAGAGACGTCCATAATCTTCTTTTGGTATCCTATTAATTTACTAACAAAACCGTTGCGTTGTCAACAAAGTCATATTAACGCTAATTGTCGAAATAAGCGACATAAAGCAAACATTTGCTAATAGTTGAACTAGGTGATCCGATGTCCATTAATCTACATATTCCACTTTGTTTTCATGAATAAGGAATAAATTAATAAAACTTGTAAAGTCACGATGTCCAACATTGGTTCAGCTTGAGCAAGTGATACTAAATTTTGTTAAATATTTACATTTGTGGTGCAAAAGTTGCAACGTCGTACAAAATAAAGTCGCAAGACGAATTCGTTGAATTATTAATATTCAAACGAATAGACAAACATTCTGTCGCTTAACTAATTCGCATAATCAATTTGTAAATATGAACGCTAGACTGGCTTTTACCATAAATCTTTTATAACATTTTGCTGTTTTTTTTTTATAATATAAGGTGGCAAACGTGCAAGCTGCCACCTAAATCCACTGAAATGGAAAGCGACCGCTGCCCATAAACATCCGCAATTGCAGATGCGTTGCCTACCTTTATTGACGAAAGAGGAGACGCACCTAAAGAGTATATTTCTCCTTCCTATGCGTCTCCTCCACGGTCAAATCCACTGTTCCTTCCCACCCTCTTCTTTTAAGAAAAGGGTGGAAAGGGAAGAGACTAAAATTAGGCCTCCGGCACCACACTCATCAGACGAAACGCGGAATTGCTTCCACTTCACGCCTGTTTTCTGTGTGGTCGTGGT